TTTTTTTTTCGGTAGGCATTTCAGCGCTTGAAGTGTGTGCTTGCGTTGCTCTTTTTGGGCCCGTTGGGAGGCTGCAAATCGTGCACTGGCTCAACCGCAGTTCAGCGAGCGGTGAGAGGCTGTGAGTGCAGCCAGGCCGAGAGAGGGAGCCCTGAGGCTCCTCGATGCAGCCTTGTCCTGCTTCACCGGCCCACTCACCCTGCCCTTTTCCCTCTTCCCACCTCCCCTCCCTCCTTCTCGCCTTCGCCATATAACCGAGTGCTCCTTGCGCTGTCGCCAAGCCTATCTGCACCACATTCGGTCTCTTTCACATCCCCGGCGACACGGCTCTGGTGACTGCTGCCGCTGGTTGCTGTGCGTTTGCCAAGAAGCTGCCCATAGCTTCGCCCTCACCGCCCAAGCTCTCCATCGTCGCAAGCTTAATAGCACTCGCACCAGGTCCAGACACATGCTCTGCGCCTAGTTTCACGAAGGCAGACTGTCCGAAGCTTCGTGCGCACCGAAACGTGGCGCCGTTTCAGTCGCCTCATCTCGCTAAAGTCGCTTCGGTGGTCGTCTGGTGTCAGGCTCATAGCCGCAAGCGGAAAGCCTTGCAGTCTTCCAGTGTCTCGCACCTCACCGGCTGTCGCTCCTCGGGCAGAATTCGCAAGCTCGTCCTCGTAACCAGCCGCCCTCTAGGTCAAGTCACGCCTCTTTACGATCCTAACGATATCCGGGCACCCTCGTTCTTGCAAGTTGCGGCTCACTCTGCTGCCTCCAGTCCCCCTCTGTCGATCTCTCCAAAGCTCTCTTTCAGCCTTGGCATCCTTTCGCACCTACATGTCAAGCCGCTAGTTCTCCTGAAACGCCGTGCCAGAGACTATCGGCCTTGCGACGTGCTTGACCGCCTCGCTTGGTGGGTACTGCGCCCGGTCCAACCTCGCGTCCCGCGTAGCCGGAGACGGGATTGCATGGCTGGTCGGTCTGCTACCAGAAGTGCCAAGCGAAACGATCGGCGCAATCAGCTCACTCGCGTCGTACTTCATCGGCCCAGTTCCAGCCGAACATCGACCTCGAACTCAAGATGGACGCACCCACCCACTTCCACGATGTCACAAACTTAGCCGCCTCTGCACGCAATAGCGCCGCTCACCACCAAGAAGCCATCATGTCGAGTCGTTCTGCTCAAAGCGAAGCTGCGCAGCAGAGTCACACGACCATCACGCCGGACGCAAGCTACGACGACGGCTCGCAGCACATGCTCATGAAGCAAAATCAAGCAGACCTCGCAACTTTCGGGACTCCGATTCCTGGTGGCACCCCCGGGCCCAAAGAAGCGGATGGCTGTAATGCGGCCGCATCCAACGACGGTAGTCGTATCCACAACGTCGATGCATCGGGTCACTCCCGGCAGCTCGATATGAGCGCGCCGCTCCGACAGGCCAACGCTCAATTCCACGACCCTCACGATCCTTCCCTGGAGCAAGAGATCGGCGCAGCCCTTCATACGCAGGTGGGCAACGTGCAGCAGTCTCCTGCCACGCACGGGCACTTCTTCTCCCCTACAGACGGCCAACGAGATGCACAGATGGCTCAGGACCAATCTCATCCAGACCCGATGCAGTTTAAGACCGAGCCTGCCAGCTTTGCGGATCAGCATCACCAAGTCAAGTCGTATCCGCCATCGCCACCAAGACGGAACCAGATGATCCCACAACCGGACTTGCGATCCTTCCAAGCTGGTGCGCGATCCACCGAAGGTCGCCACATGATCTCGCATCGTCCAAGCCACAGTCTTGGCCAGGCGGGTGCATTCATGTCTGGCATACCGGACCGAGATATGTTTGGGCACAGTCACGTCAGCGCGCCCGTCTCTCCCTCTGACGGCATGAACTCAGGCCCCTTCGCAGCTTTGTTTCAGTATCCGGGCGCTCGCCAAGAAGTGGGTCCCGGTATGACCGAGCATGGCCACGTGTTCGATCAGAGCGTGGGCCCTGGCATCTCGCGTCCCATCGGTCATTTGCCAAAGTCCTGCGCTCCCTCGGCCCGCTCCGCTTCGCCCTCCACCAGCATGGCATCAACATCGATGGCGTCCATCTCTCCTTTGGGAAGCGCTCGCATCAACGCCGACGGCTCCTTCACTTCGCAGGAGACCTCCTTCGATAGCATCTCCAACGCCGCCTCCGGCTCATTCAGCCGTGCCTCCTCCACGTCAGAAGAAGCCTTCTTTCAAGATCTGGGCTCGCTCGGCCTCGCCTCCTCGTTGCGCATGAACAAGCAGAAAAAGAAGCTGCGCAACATTGATCGCAAGGAGATTTGCGATTACTCGATTGCGAATCCGCTGGTCAAGCAGGATGCCATCGCCAACCGATTTGGCATCGAACGCAGCACCGTCAGCAAGATCCTCAAGCACAAGGAAAAGTGGTTGGCGATCGACCCGCAAAGCGACGCAGCGCGCATCGCCAAGCACAGAGCCGTCAAGTTTCCTGCTGTCGAAGACCGCCTCACCAGCTGGGTCGCTGCGCTCAAAGCCAGCGGCAAGCCTGTGCGCGACTCGATCATCCGACAGGAAGCTCTGCGCATCGCGCGCGAGCTTGGTCTCGGCGAGGACAAGTTCAAAGCTTCGGGCGGCTGGATCGAGAAGTTCAGAGAGCGCAACATGATCCCGAAACCCCAGCTTAGCGATGCTGCGAGCGCAACGTCGGCCACAGGGGCAGATGCCACGGAGCTCGATGCGTCTTCTTGCGACGGCGCATCATCACATCCGACAGCTAGCGCCGAGACGTCGACAGAGGCCTCGATCATGCCAACGGGCGGTCCAGCGGAAGCGGAGAGCAGCACCGGTGGTCAGTCGCGAAGCGTCCGACGCCAGCCTGCGCGGGCAAGCAAGGCAAAAGGTACTCCTCAGAAGCGCACCCGAGACGATGCAGAGAGGACGCAGGCCATCTTGAGCATGTCGCCTCTCAGCCACGACCTGGCTCGCATGCACTTCCCCAATGGCGCACCCATTCCGCTCATGCCGGAGCCCGCCCTCTTTCGACCCAACTTCTACGAGACGCATGCAGCTGCCTCTCAGTTCATGACGAACAACAATATCATGTACGGCGGCCATTACGTCTCGCCCACCATGCAGCCCATGGAGGATCAGGACGAATCCGAGCGCAAGCGCAGGCGCTCCGGGCAGCACTTTGATGCCGGGCAAGCGTCCATGGTGCTGGATGCCCCAATCGAGTTTCAGTTCCCTTCGGCTGGCGCTAGCGCGCTTTCTCCTTTGGACGGCATGCCCGGTGCTGCTCCTGGCGGTCAGGGCCAGTCCGACGTGGGCCTACAGACCGCAAGTCCTCGGAGTCGTCGCACTGTCGCCAAATCCGCCACTGCCAGTGGCGGACGTGGCCGCGCACGCCGTGGCAAGGGTCGTCTTTCGGGCGCGAACCATACACCTCAGACCCCTTCGCCTCTATCGATGTCGCCCACCGACGCTCGAGGCGAGGCCGTTCTGCCGAGGTTCAATCTAGCCGACGCCGAGCAGATCACGGCAGCCACCCTGGAGCGCATTCGCGCGCTGCAGAGCTCTGGCGACAAGTCGTCGATCGTAACAGCGGAGCAGGCGCAACAGTCGTTGGAGCTGGTGCTGCGCTTCCTGAGCGAACAGCCGAGCGACTTTTTGCCCGCCAACCATTTTGTGGTCTTCGGCCACTTGCAGGCCAACATCGAACAAAAGATCCGAGATCAGGCCAAGCAGAGCCCTGCTGCCGCCGACGGTCCTAGCTCGCAACCTCCTGTACCCGGTGCCTCCCCCAATGCGGAGGCGACCTCTGCCACGCTTGGCGACGACGTGAACAATTTGCCAGCAAGCTGCGCCTAGCGATTAGGAGCGCAACGTGTCTGCCACGAGTGTCATCGACATAACAAGGTGGCTCGGAGTCGGGCCTCGTGCTGACAGACTTCCTCCGCGCTTCGCGCCTTCTTCCGCGTCTTTCCAAAATCTCACTCGCATGACCTTGGGGTCCTGTTCCTTTGCATCGACTCCGCGCACGCTCACCCCCGCAGACACCACTTGCTGCGAGGACGCAGAAGCGCCACCCAAAAGATGGCTCGAAGATTCCTTCCAGCATCGCAGTCTCTCGTTATTCATAATCGGCATTACATCCCCGCTTCCCCCCTTCATATCGTCACCGCATGTCTGATCCCATAGCATCCACTCACTCATCATTTCGTACCGTCCATCCATTCAAGCATCGCAGCCTTTCAATTCAGCATCCCAGACCGCGTTGCGATCTAGTCCGAGATTGTGGCAGCAGATGGAACTTGTTGGGCTTGCGGCCAAGTTGCGATTGTGGGGCCGGTGGGCCGCGGTTGCCGCGCTTCTGGCGGCAACCTGGAGCGCGGCGCTGTTGAGCCTGGTCGCCACACGAAGATGCCTTTTCTCGTTTTTTCGCTTTTCTTTATTTTTTCGATTACGGCTGTAGTGGAGGAGAGACAGGTTGGGTGCGGGGTAACGTTGGAAGGCTGCCGGCCATCGCGGTGGTGACGTCGGAGATAGCCGCGCGCACGGTCAACGTGGTGTCGGTGCATGTTCTAAGCTGCGCTGATCGCCGCCTCGCTGCCGCATATAAACCTCCACACCCTCTCTCTCCCTTCCTCTCCCTCTCTCACCGCTTCGTCTTTGCAGCATCTTCTATCGAACCCCACAAAACGACGCAATCACAATGACGGTATTCTCAGGATCGAGTGCGCTTTCGAGTGTGCCCAACCGCTCGTACTATGCGATCCCAGCTGCATGGGTGCTGGCAATCCTGCCGCACTTCTATGCCGCTGCGCTGTCCAAGGGCCAGTTCAAGAACGCCCACCCTCGCCAGCTGCTGCACGACCTGCTGGCCAAGAAGACCAAGACTGCCAACGAAGCCAAGATCATCCGCGCCGAAAGCGCCCAGCTCAACGGGTAAGCCTCGAACCCTGTCCTTGCTCGACGTTTCGGACGGGCACTGACCGTGAAAGTTTGCGTCGATAGATTCGAGAACCTCGGACTGTTTGCAGCGGCTGTTGTTGCAGCGAACGTGGCCAAGGTGCCCAACAGCGAGCTCAACACGCTCACTGCCTTTTACCTCGCCAGTCGTGTGGTCTTCAACCTGTAAGTCGAAGCTGTTCTACCGCGGACCAACGACATCAGTTTCTGACGACTGCTTGACTTTACACGCACAGGCTCTACATCTTTGTGACGCAGGAGACGACTGCTTCTCTGCGCAGTGCGTCGTACCTCGCAGGCGTCGGCACCATCTTTACGCTCTTCATCAAGGCAGGTCTGCGTGCCGTGTAAGCCTAGCGCACAGGACGCGATTTTACGCACCAGTGCCGGTAATCCCATCACACTTACCTCATCCGTCCGACGGTGAGGCGGGGAGTTAGACGGACGAGACAGCTTTTGCGATGGCGTCGCCGAGTTTCTGGGTGGTTCCGTTACCCCTCATGTCTGGAGTGAGGATGCTGGAGTCCGAAGTGCCAAGCACCGCGTCGATGGCCCTGAGCACAGCTGCTGCCGCCTCGTTCTCGCCGAGATGGAGCAGCATCATCTGGCCTGCCCAGATCATGCCGACGGGGTTTGCGATGCCTTTGCCCATAATATCCGGCGCCGAACCATGGACCGGCTCGAAAAGGCTGGGGAACTTGCGCTCTGGGTTGATGTTGCCCGAAGGAGCAATGCCGATCGTACCCGTGACTGCCGGGCCAAGGTCGGACAGGATATCGCCATGCAAGTTGGATCCCACCACCACATCAAAGTAGCTCGGCTTCTGGACAAAGTGCGCGGACAGAATGTCGATGTGGAACTGCTCCGTCTTGACGTCCGGATACTCCTCGGCCATGAGCCTGAAGCGCGAATCCCAGTAGGGCATGGTGATCTTGATGCCGTTCGACTTGGTTGCACTGGTGAGCTTCTTCCTCTTTGTTGTCTTTGCCAGGTCGAATGCATACTTGAGAATCCTGTCTACACCGATGCGGGTCATGATGGTTTCTTGAATCACCGTCTCGCGGTCCGTGCCCTCGAAGATCTTTCCGCCCACCTCCGAGTATTCGCCCTCGGTGTTTTCGCGCACGATCCAAAAGTCGATATCACCCGGCTGGGCAAGCGGACTGGGTACTCCTTTGACGAGCCGACACGGACGCAGGTTGACGTACTGGTCAAAGTGTCGACGCATCTGCAGCAGCGAACCCCACAGCGTCACGTGGTCCGGGTGGCGGTTCGGATCGCCGACCGCGCCAAAGAAGATGGCGTCGAACGGCTGCAGGAGCTCGATCCAGTTGTCAGGCATCATCTTGCCGTGCTTGTCGAAGTAGTCGCACGAGGCAAAGTCGAACGTCGTCAGCTCGAGCGAGAAGCCGAAGCGCTCTGATGCCGCTTGCAGGGCTTGCAGGCCACATGGCATGACCTCTTGGCCGATTCCATCGCCAGGGATGACCGCAATCTTGTATGATCTTGCCGACATGGTCTGGAAAGGTGTTGTCGAGGAGCGGTGAGACAGTCGAGTGAGCACAGCTGAAGCTTCAACACCTCTGATGGCGTCGGGAAGTCAGGAACATGGATGTGGTGAAAGTAGCGCCTCCCACTATGAGGGCTCCCACCTGGCACACCTTCGCACGGAGCAGCCTCCGCTCTCCCACCTGCACGAAGCCGCCGTGCAGCTGCACGATTAAGCCGGCGAATTCTCCGGCGGGACGGCCAAGCGATTTTCTACCAGTGTTAGGTCGATAATGAAATGACAGTCTTAGGCGAAAAATTAGGCAAAAGTCGGAGCCGAACGACTCGAAGAATTTGCTGATTGCCAGCCTGCACCCTGCCTCTCCACCATCTTTGTCCCTGCTGCCTTCACCATCACACCATCATCACAACCGTCGACAACGTTCATCTGGCTGGTTATAGTGCAGCGCAATAGTCTGACTTGCCGCCGACCTCACAGATCAGTCATTCAAAATGTCGCAATTCGTGGGCAACGTAAGTACAGCTTCCTTCTGGCAGGGCCCTGTGTCGCTCCTTCGCACCACCTCGTACTGACTGGCCATCCTCTCGAATCGACTCTACATCTGGAACGCTTCCAATTCATTCACCGACCTCAACGTACCACTTTCAACGACAACGCAGACATCGCTGGCCTTCGCGCGCACATGGCATGCAGTGAGCGCGCAGGACCGCGTGCTGGGTCCGCTGGCAGTCAACATTGCCAAGCTGCTCATGGGCAAGCACAAGCCGATCTACGACCAGTCGAAGGACCTTGGCGACTACGTGGTAGTGACAAATGCCAAGCAGGTTGTGGTGACGGGACGCAAGGCGGACCAGCGCGTGTACCGCCACCACACCATGTACCCGGGCGGCCTCAAGGAGATCAAGTACAAGGAGATGATGGAGCGCAAGCCCGAGGAGATCATCCGCAAAGCAGTGAGCGGCATGCTGCCCAAGAACACGCTGCGCGACCGCAGACTCGAGAGGCTCAAGATCTTTGATGGCGAGCAGCATCCGTATGCCCAGAACATCATCCAGCGCTATGTCGAGACTCCCGCGCCAGCACCAGCACCTAAGGCTTGAACAACGCTTCAAGACACCAGCGTTTCGACGTACGGCTTTCGACCAGCCAGATGGTGTCGCCGTTGCGAGACCTGAGACAACATGTAGACCCCCCTCAGCATCTCTTCTTGGACCCCGGCGCACAGGCGTCGCGGGTCCGTGTACTTGTATCGTCTTCTCCGCTCTGATGGCACTTCCTCATCACAGTTTGTCTCCTGTGTGCTTTCGCTTACCGCCACACTTGGTTGGCTGCATGCCTGTGATCTTGGTGGGCGATGGGTGCTGGTGACTGCACGTCTAAGAGTCGCCAGAAAAAAATGCCGGATCTCGGATGGTTGGGAGGGAGCTGTGGAGAAATTTGGAGCCGACTTTGAAATGCACCCGTGTTCACCACTTGTCGAGTCGCCACCATCGCAACTGTCTTCTTGGGATCAGCCATGCTGCGTTGTCTTGCACGTGCGTCTCTTGCACCCACACAGCCGCTGGGACTGACTCGTTCTCTCTCCACCTCCATTCCACGGCACTTTTGGAAACGTCTCTTCGGGTCACCCGAACGCACACCCGCATCTGCCCCACGACCTACACCAGAACCAATAGCCTCGGCATCACCATCACAGCTCGACACAGATACCCCCGCAGCAGCACAAACCACCAAGCCAGTAGTGAAGGGAAAGATGCTGCAGCGCGATGCTGAACTGCTTGCCAAACTGCTCGACCGCGACGGAGGATCCGCCGCCATCCCCATCATCAACGGCTCCTACGCGGAAGGTCTAGGTCCCGAAACCAAGAAAAACATGTTCCGACTCATCTGATTCACGCACGCACGCATTGCACCACTAAACCCCCCCCCCCCCCCC